TTATGCTGAGTCACTACAATACTTCACCACCACCCCTGAACATCAACCCTGTTGGGAAATTATAGTCCAGTGGGTGATATCAAATAGTAGAACCAGTTACCTTAACCGATACCAACACAACGGAAATGAAAAGCCTACCGCATCGAAGAAGCACACATAGGTTTCGACTCTACAATAATTCAAAATTGTCATTTTTAATTTCACTTTCATAATCCGTGGAATTTACTTCCTCGGGCTGTATCAGCTTCGCGTTGATTCGATCAACAAAAGATTCGTCGACATGGTATCAAATCGTTTGATCCCTGCAGACACAGCATTGGCATCCTGTCCTTACTAAATGCTTAATACAGACATTTCCGCGTAGAACAGGCTCATTGGAAAGTTTCTTTTATTGGCAAACTCGTATAATCCATCGTGGTGCAGTCAGCCAGAGTTCGATACATAGTATTGAGAGCACTGGTCGTCCAATCTTTAATCTACCAAGGTACTTGGCTCCGGACAAGCACAATACGATCAAATCCGTCCAAACAACCATAAGATCGAAATGAGTCCCCTTCGGCGATTTCAGCCGACTCACTGCTGCTAAACCTTTAGACCGATATTATCTGCCAACAGCATCAGTTTAAACGAAATGTGTTGAATAAAGCTCTTATATCTAATCTACTGGTAGTCTCGAAAACCTACTCATAAACAGAAAATAAGTAATATATTTTTCGTATTTTAATAGAATTTTGAGACTACCAGTAAATCATTAATAGCAGATGTATTTACCCTATTTCGTTTAAGGTGAGGAAGGATTGTTAATATAATTTTCCCACAATGATATGAGTAGAGCTGACGTTTCCATTTAATTTCACATAGCCCTGCTTTCCCAAGAGTTCTTCTCATCCCGGCTGGAGGGGACTGCAATTTTGACCTCGCATCGGCCTTATCAACACATCCAGCGAGAGTCGAACCTTGACAGGGCAGAATGGGAGCTTAACACGTTGACCACTCGACCACATTGTCACGAGTGCCCTTGGGTCACAGGGCAAAAGTCGATTTTAAGAAATGCCAGGCCTTTTACTATATCACATTCTTTGGCGGGATTGTCGATGAAGCAAATGTATATTTGCTATAACAATCGACGACGTTACTTATTTTTCGTATTTGAGTAGAGTTTCGAGACTACCAGTAATTCAGTAATATGAGATGAAATAGGGTGATTACATCTCATATTAATGATTTACTCGTAGTCTCCAAACTCTACTAAAATACGAAAATAGTAACGTAGTTGATTGTTATAGCAAATATACCCTGGATGAAAACAACTTTTGTGTAAGCAAGGCTATGTGAAATTCAATGGAGACGTCAGCTCTACTCATATCATTGAGGGAAAATTCTACTACCAGTTCTTCATCACCTTAAACGAAATAGGGTGAATATATCCCAATAAGTTATATAGTCGATTGCTACAGCAAATACTACTTAGCTTGTTGACAACCCCACCATATAATTGTGATATGGGAAAGGCCTAGGTCTACTTGAAATTCATTTCTGCCCTATGACCAAAGGGTATTCGTGGTAGTACAGCGTAGGGATTACCGTGTCGAGACTATGCGCTGCTCTACCTGAGTTCGAATCCCGCTGGAGGTGCTAGGAGCCGTGGTCGAAACTGCAGTCCAGTCTGAGTGAGAATGCCTTTTGGGATAAAAGGCTATGTGAAATGCAACAGAAAACATGAGGCTTACTCGTCTCACTATGGGAAAATTCAATTACTAGTCTTTCATTACCCCCAACGAAATAGGACGAATACAGCTCTTGATCTAAAGACTACCTGCCTTCATATTCATATCACTTTTCCTCTCATACAAGACGATTATCAATATTCTATCCTTGTGTGAGGAAAAACTGGGTACGAAGGACCCCTGAATCGGTTGATGTTGGATTCACAAATTGGCCTCATCGGGAGTCGAAGGAAAATTGCCTCGGATATATGACTATATTTGTGCGAATCGGGGTCGCTGTATTTATTAGCACAAATCTACATTCACATCTCCAAGGAAATTCCCGCTCGGAGTCCGATGAGGTGAACTTACGAATCCCTTCCATTCGCCTGTTCAAACGAATTGAAAGTGATTCAGCTGCTAGCCCACTCATCAGCATAAACGAACTAGTGTGAATACTTCTAATATATCTGACCTACTGGTAGTCCAGATAACCTGCTTATATTCTATTTTTATCGAAAATATGAAGACTAAGATGGTGTGGCCTTTTGTCTGATCGCAGTATTGATATGAAGAATTAGATGAACGCACCTTGTCCGGAGTCAATTGTATGCATGATCATTTGGAAAATCGGACCGTGGACGTGGTACATTCCCAGACGTTTCGCCGGCATCGTCAATAAGTCTTGCTACTCTTAGCACCACACAACAACTCGTCAAAGAGACAAGTGAAGCTGATCGTTTGACCAAATGTGTGCTAACCAATTGTGGTATACCTCCTTCTGTCCGTGGCTATTCACTTTACTATATCCTCCAATCACGCCTTCACTATCACAATTTTTTCTCCTTCGCTTATTTACATGAAGTGTGGTGTGTCCTTTTGAGCGGCTTTCATGAAAACCCTCTGCACTTCACGCTGGCGTTCTCGCCCTCCTTCATTCTTGTGTTTGGAATGTTAATCAAAGTCTGCCATATTGTTACGCAGTCCTCCTCCCCTAGATCTTATCATAGTATCTCTCATGCTATCTCCCTGGTTCAAGTATTTAGTTCGACCCCTGCCACCTCATCTGTGCTGCACGAAGCGTTATTTCTCCCACTGTGTCTGCTAGACTAACTTGAGGCTAAAGACCCCGAGTAATTCTCATCGTCAAGCCTTTGCTTC